TCATTCATCTCTAAATATTTTCTAATTTCTCTTCTGTGTTCTTTGATTCATGGGTTAAGATTGTGTTATTTAATTTCCACAGTTTGGTGAATTTCCCAGTTTTACTATTGTTATTGATTTCTAGCTTTATCCTGTTGAGGTCAGGGAAGATACTAAGATACTTTGCATCATATCTGTCTTTTTAAAGCTTTTAAGATTTGATTTGTAGCCTAACATATGGTCTGTCCTGGAAAATGTCCCACATGCACTTGAGCAAAATGTACATGCTTTCGTTGGGTATGGTGTTCTGTATATGTCTGTTAAATCTAGTTGATTTATTGTATTAAGTCTCTTGTTTCCTTATTTATCTTCTGTCTGGTTGTTCTAGTCATTATTGAGGGAGTGTGTTGAAGTCTAGAATTATTAATGTAGAACTGTGTATTTCTTCCTTCAATTCTGTCAGTTTTTGCTTTGTGTTTTTAATGGTCTGTCTTTGGGAGCATATTTGTAATTGTATCTTCTTTCTGCATTGAACCTTTAATACATTATATTCTTCTTTGTCTCTTGTAACCTTTTTTGGTTTAAATTCTATTATGTCTGATGTTAGTACAGCCACCCGTGCTCTCTTTTGGTTACTATTTGCATGGAGTATCTTTATCCATCCTTTCATTTTCAGTTTGTGTGTTTGATTCTAAAGTGAATCTCTTGTAGATTGCATGTAGTTGGGTCATGTGTTTCTATCCATTCTGCCAATCTGTCTTGTGATTGGAGAGTTAAATCCATTTACATTTAAAATAATTACTGGGGACTTCGGTCACTTTGCTATTGTTTTCTATATGCCTTAGAGCTTTTTATGTTCCCCAGTTCCTGTATTACCATCTTCTTTTGTGTTTAGTTGATTTTTTTTTGTAGTGAAATGTTTAAATTCCTTTCTCATTTCTTTTTGTATATATTCTATAGCTATTTTCTTTGTGGTTACCATGGGGATTATGTTTAACATCCTAATGTTATAAATATCTAATTTGAATTTTTGCTAGCTTAACTTCAGTAACATACAGAAACTCTACTCTTTGTACAGCTCTGTCCCCACCCCTTTCAGTTTGTTGATGTCACAAAATTACATCTTTATGTAGTCAGCCCTTCATATCTGTGGGTTCTGCATCTGTGGATTTAACCAACTGCAGGTTGAAAATATTTGGGGAAAAAAATAATGAAAAATAACAGTTTAACAACAAAAATAATACAAATTTTAAATAACAATACAGTGTAACAACTGTTTACATAGCATTTGCATTATGTTAGGTATTATAAGTAATCTAGAGATGATTTAAAGTATACAGGAGGATGCACATAGGTTATGTAAGGGACTTGAGTATCTATGAATTTTGTTATCTGCAGGGAGTCTTGGAACCAGTCCCCTACAAACACTGAGAGACAACTGTGCATTGTGTGCCCCAAAAAGTATGATGATAATTCTTTCAAATGCATTAATCTCTTTAAATTATTTAGAAAACAAAATACAAAATGTATAGTTACCAACCAAAGTTACAATAATACTTGCTTTTAGTCTAATGATTATTTTTTTCTAAACTGTTTTAGTCTCTTAAATCATATCAGAAACAAAAAATGGAGTTACAGACCATTTTTACAATAATCGTAGCTTTTATAATTGCCCAGGTTTTTACCTTTATTAAGATCTTTATTTCTTCAGGCAGCTTTGAGTTACTGTCTAGTGTCCTTTCATTTCATCCTACAGGACGCCTTTGAACATATCGGCATGCTGCCTTCTGGCCTCCAGCATCTGATAAGAAATACACTGATAATCTTATTGAGGATTCCTTGTATATGATCAGTTGCTGCTTTCTTGCTGCTTTCAAGATTCTCTCTTTGAGACCATTATCTGAAATGAAGTAGCTCAGGAACAGAAAAATAAATACCACATTCACTTTAAGTGGGAGCTAAATAATGGGTATACATGGTCATACAAAGTGGATAATGGATAATGGAAATTAAGAAGAGGGGGGAAGATGGGGGGGGTGAGGAATCAGAAGTTACCTGTCAGGTGCAATGTACACTATTCGAGTGACAGGTACAATTCATGTAAAAAAAATACTTGTACACCCTAAATCTATCAAATAAAAAAAAAGTCTTAGGCAGTTTTTTAAAAAAGATTATCTCTTGTCTTTATCTTCAAAAGCTTGATTGTAAAGTGGGTGTTGGCCTTTTTGAGTTCATTTTACTTGGAGTTTGTTGAGCCTCTTAGATGTTCCTATTTATGTCTTTATCAAACTTGGGACATTTTCAGCCCTTATTTCTTCATATATCTTCCCTTTTTCTTTCTCTCTTTTTCTTCTTCTGGGACATCCACAATGCAAATGTCAGTTCGCTTGATGGTGTGTGTCGGGCACCTTAGGCTCTGTTTACTTTTCTTCGGTCTTTTTTTCTGTTTCCCAGACTTGATAATTTCAATAGTTCCATCTGTAAGTTTTCTGATTCTTTCTTTGGCCTGCCCTAATTTGCCTTCGAATCTGTCTAGTGAATTTTTTCATTTCAGTTATTGTATTTTTCAGCTCCAGAAATACTTTTGAGTTTCTTTTTGGGTTTTTCATCTTTTTATTGATATTTTCATTTGTTCATACATCATTTTCTTGACTTTACTTCTTCCTTTAGTTCTTTGAGCATCTTTAAGTTAGTTGTTTTATAGTCTTTGTCTGGTAGAGCTGCTATCAGGTAGCTTTCAGCAATGGTTTCTGTTGATTTAGGTTTTTTTTCATTTGAATGGGCTGTACTTTCCTATTTCTTTGTATGTTTTGTGTGTTTTTTTGTTGTTGAAAGTAACATTTGAATTTAATAATGCAATAACTCTGTAAATAATATTCTCTCCCTTCCCCAGGGTTTACTATTTTTTGTTATTGATTTTGTTTATTGTTTTTGTTTTTTTGATGGTTGTAGGCTGTCTCTGTGCCGTGGATCAGCCTCAGGTATAAACTTAAGGTCTTCTCAGGGATTTTCTGAGCCTTTCCCTGATCTTGCATAATCACTTTCTAAATTTCCCCATATATACACTTGCTTTTGAATGTCCTAATCCCTAATGTCTGGCTCCTAAAAGGGGAAAAAGAGAAAAATTAAAAGGGACAGAAAGGGTACCAGCCCTTTGTATCTCCGGAAGTCATTTCCACTAGAGGGGAAGCACTTGCAACAGTGGGAGGAGGTACGACAACAATGGCCACCGCCTTCTTTGTCTGCACCTCTGTGATCAGAAGCAGCAGACAGTGGTCAGATCACAGATCCCTGAAATTTGGAGGACAGCGTCCTTTTTGCCTACCCTGACTCCTGTACATTGTGTTCAGGAACACATGCGCAGCTGCTTGCCACAGGCTGGGGCTACGGGCTAGGTGGGTACTATGTGCTGAGAGCTGAAAGCAACCACAATTTGCCGTGCCGTCTTCCATAGACTCCAGAGATCTCAAAATAGTTATATCAGACACGTTTTGCCAGTGCAGTGTTGTCTAGGTAAGACAGATTCCTGGTGCTTCTTACTACACCATCTTGCCCTGGATCTGTCTTTTAAGACTCTCCCAGACCTCTTGGACCATTTTCTCTTTCAGAAATCTGGCTTTGGCATCCAGCTATGCCTGTAGGAGGCTGGCCCATAGTTATACAACTCATGAGAATAGGTGGTGCCATGGGCTCTCTTGTTCTCACTCTCCCACCTTATAAAAAATCCTCCTCCTCATTCTTAGGTCTAGCTAGAATAGTAGTGACCTTCATTCTTCTTATGCCTTCTGAGAGACAAAATTATTACCACCAATTCAGAAACTGAGTCAGTGGCCCATCATTAGTAGACATAAGCTTCTTATGCTTAAAAATATATGTGAATTTCCTCTGTTACTAAGCAGACTTTGTTACATGTGTTTACTAGCATAGATCATGGCTGGAGGGGAGAGATTGGAGATAGGCAGTCAGTTAGGAAACATCTTATAGGAAGTCTTATGGATCTAGTTCTTCCATTGCTGTGTTCTACATATGGAATCATACCATCACCCAGAGGTCTGGAGTTGGGATTCCTTCAACACATACAGAGTCTCTGGACAAATTGCAAAATGTGTCTCTTCCTCTGGGTAGCAGCCTAGTGCCAGAGTTCATCACTTTCTCCCTCCCTTGGGCTCCTTTGTGTTGTACACAAACTACTCAAACCTTCCAGTGGTCCTGGGTTTGCAGCACAGGCTATGGAGCTACACTGACCTGGGTTGAATCCCAGCACTGCCACTTGCTGTGTGGCCTTAAACAAGGTACTTGGAGCCTCATTTTTCCAACTGTAAATCCTGACACATTGCGGTGGGATTCAGTGAGATAACATGTGTCCAGCCCTTAGCACAGTGACTGGACCATGCCAAGCCCTCCATTGATGCTAATATTACTCGTTAGGGTTTGGTTGTGACATTGTATTTACCTTTGTGTGTTTTAGCATTAAATTCTCAAATCAATCAAACTTACTAATAAGTGCTATTATGTTCCTCTAAAATGGAAAGTGTTAACTATTTCTCAAGGAGGTTTCTTTGGCTCTGACATGCTATGGTTCCGGCTGCTGGATTGCATTATTTATGTGCCATTTGGATATAAGATTTCATCTTCCATCAGGGGAAAGATGGAAATAGGCATGGGGGAAACAATATTGATTCAATGTCTACTATTGGGGAGCTCTGTATTGCATTCTGATTTGACCTTTATAGCAAATGAGAAATTGAGGCTGAGGGAGGTTGAATGATTTACTTAAGGTCATACACAGCTAGTAAAAGGCAAAGCCAGGATTGGATTTATTTTATTTCTCCTTTCCTGTACCCCACTTCTCCTGGGGCCCATATGGAGATTTCTCATTATCATTTCTCTGTCTACTATTCACTTTATTTAATTTTTCTCTAGAGTAGAAATTTTACTTTCTTTCTGGTACTGATTAGAGAGAGAAAAATTGAAGCAAACTTCTCTCTCCTTCCATTTTTAAGCAGCTCTTTTTCTTCCAGGTAGCAGTAGCTGAGGTGCAGTTTGGCCCCATGAGATTTCACCAAGATCAACTTCAGGTAATAATGAGCCATGCTGTAATTATCATAGTCGACATTCTTTAAAAGGGTATGGGGGAGGGCCTAAAGTTATACATTTAAAATAGTCTTCTATTTAGATAATAGTATTGGATCAATTTCCTGAACTTGATAATAGTACTACAGTTATATGTAGAAATAAAAATTGGGTATTTAGAGATGAAGAAATGTTTGCTTCCTACTTTAAATTGGTTCAACAATAAAAAAAAATGAGTATAATTGTGTATGTGTTGAGAGAGAGAAAGCAAAGCAAAGGTGGCAAAATATTAATTGATGAATGTAGAGGAAGGGTATCCTAGTGTTCATTGTCATTCACAACTTTTCTATGGGTTTGAAATTTTCCAATATAAAAAGTAGAAAGGGCAGGTGCGGTGGCTCATGCCTATAATCCTAGCACTCTGAGAGACCGAGACAGGAGGACTGCTTGAGGTCAGGAGTTCAGGGCCACCCTGAGCAAAAGTGAGACCCCCGTCTCTACTAAAAATAGAAAAAATTAGCTGGGCATGGTGGCATGTGCCTGTAGTCCCAGCTATTTGGAAGGCTGAGGCAGGAGGACCTCTTGAGCCCAGCAGTTTGAGGTTGCATTGAGCTAGGATGACAACACTGCACTCTAGCTGGGATGATAGAGTGGGACTCTGTCTCATAAAAAAAAGAAAGAGAGTAAAAAGATAGTCTTCTCTATGTTGATAAATCAGCTCTATCAGAAAGAAAATGTCTATAATTTATCTAATACAAAATATGAGACAGAAAATAACCAACTGAAATTTTGCAAAGTTATTTGGGGCTTCCTACACACAAATACATGTTCACTATTACATTTTTAAAAATGTGAAAAGGGCTGACAAAAGTATGTACTCTCAGTTCTTTACATTAATAGTATTTATGCAGTTGGGTAAACTTAGAGCAAGTAAGCCTTAGAGGGTTTCTCTTAGCTTTGTAGTCTCTAGCCCACAGGCTGCCCTATCTCCATCTAACCACTGCTGCCCATTGTCTGTCTGGTTCTGAAGGGACAGTGGAGCCATGGTGCCCCTGAACCAGACTGGGGGCGGGGTAGCAGAGAAAGGGGAAGGAGGCTGGCTGGATAGGGAAGAGGCAACAGATCCAGGCCTCACTTGATCCAAGCCAGGACTTACCAGATCCGAGCCAGGCACTAGGAGGCTAGCCGCTATCCTGGGTAGAGGCACAGATGCCGCCTCTTGTACCTAGTTCTGTTCCTGTGTCACTTAACTGGCAGGCTTTGCAGGGTAGCATTTTGGTCTACTTTAAATCTCCCCTCTTTTAATCAAAATGATATTTTTTTTTAACTTGGGGGAATTACAGGAAATCTTAAGTCAAAACATTTAAATACATTATTTAAAGAATTAAGTGTTTTAATAGTCTCACTGAAATATTAGCATTTGCCATCTGAGGACTTACCCAGTTAACTTTCTGTTAGCTAAAATAAATATTTGTGTGTTTTAATTCACTTAAGATAAAATGCTTGTCAAATATTTCAAGATAAAATGCTTAATCAAGCCTTTGAGTTCTGCCAGTGGGTTTATTAGCAAAACAAGTAGGTTTGTGATCCATGCACTTGCACTGCTTGACTAAGAGCAGATAAAAAAAAAAATAGCACAAATTTTAGGGAGCTGAGAGACACTGTCCTCGAGTTATGTGTAGAAGGATTTATATTGACAATTATGTTCACATCTATGTCCTTGCTTTGAAAACACTTGGGAGTTTTATGTGGCTTGTTAAGAAATGATAATTCTATCATCATTTTAAAAATAGTGTTTGTTCTCTTTTGATTCAGGTACTTTTAGTGTTTACCAAAGAAGATAACCAGTGTAATGGATTCTGCAGGGCATGTGAAAAAGCAGGGTTTAAGTGTACGGTCACCAAGGAGGCTCAGGCTGTCCTTGCCTGTTTCCTGGACAAACATCATGACATCATCATCATAGACCACAGAAATCCTCGACAGCTGGATGCAGAGGCCCTGTGCAGGTAAGCCCAAGCCGGGGACCTACATAGTCCCATTGGCATTTGTGACAATAAACGCAGCCCGGAAACACAGTAAGTTAAATTCACTGTCTCTTTTAAGTTACCTTCCATGCGTGTAAAATAAGCAAGACATTAGAACCTCATTATTTTGAGGACTGGTCTTTGTCTCTTTTGTTTTGTCTTGCTTTGCTTTGCTAAAAACAGTAAGAAAATGTGAATGAGAACCATAAAGGGTAAAGGTGAAACCCAATATGTAATTTACCAAACCTATCACTTGCATATTACAGCAATAAGAATTATAATTTTCCAGATTGTTTTTAAAGTTATAAAAACTTTGAAAATTGTCTTCTAATGTTAGATGAATGTGTCTTCTTTATAATACTTGCAGAATATCCATATCATAAGAGAATTCTGGATAGCAGACCCTAAACCTAAAAAAAGTACTTTTTAAAGAAAGCTATTTGCTGCTGATAGAAGCAAGGCAAAGTGAAATACCATTTTATTTAACAGAAAACTTTATTTTGGGGAAGGCATATAATTTTAATATAATGTAAAATTTTATAGCATATTAATTTTAAGGACATTTAAAATCTTGATTTTTAAGATATAGAAAAGATTTAAGCCAAATACAACATGGGTTAAAAACTGAAATGACAAGCAAATGGCATTATATCAAAAGATTGTTTGCAGAGTATGTGGTTATTTCGACACGTGCTTGTTTCCTTGGTGATGAAAACCCACGTTCTGGTAGTCCGACTATGTAGCTTTCAGCCCAGTGTGATTCGCCTCCAGTAGAGTTTCCCCTCGGGCCTTGATCTAGCGCCTGTGTGCTGCCTATATTCCTTGCCTGTTTCAATCTGGCTGACTCTGCAATAAGCAGTCACTGTTGTAGCCCTGAGCTTTGGATGTTTTCCTTCACGTGGAACCCAACTTAGTCCAGATGTGGCCCACAGGGTTGCTAGAGCAGGTCTATTCCCCTTACCCAGAATGGAATTCCAATATTTGAGAACAAGAATTGTGTTCCCCTGAGACATCTTCCTTTTTTGGATTGAGTACATCCTTACTGCTGTCAGCAGCTCCTCACAGAGCATGGTTTCATGTTCCAACCCCACCAAGGGTGCTTCCCCTGAGCACCCTTTTTTAGTTGCTAGCCCTTGTAGGCAGGCTCCATATCTGAAAAGCTCACACTGGGTTTGGGTGGACCAGTGAAGAGTAAAGCGGGAACAGTCCCCCTCCCCTGTGTTGGCCGGGGAGCAGACCTTTACAGAAGGAATCCCTGATCATATTTCTTTCCTGATGCCACAGCCCTGGCCAAGAACCTCAGCTCTTTCTCACTAGCTGTGTTCTACCATATCATCTCCATCTTGCTGGGTGAGGACTTGGGGTGGGGGTGGGGTTCTTGTGCTATTTGTAGTGAGTTTTCTAGAGGCAAGAGCAGGCCCTGATTTATTTTCCTAAGTCAGTTTCATCTTGATTCTGGCTTTTACGTGGTTTGTCTCCCTTAAGATCAACCCTGTAAGGACACTTGCCCACTATGAACTGTTACGTCAAGAAATTTTTCCAGGCTACCCCTCCTGTACTGGCTTGCCCTCTCTCTCAGGAGACTTACATGGCTCACGAGACTTTAGTTCTGCAGAATTCTGTCCTTCCCTTCTTCTCTTTTGGGATACCTAATTAACACTGCCTGTGAAGAGTTTTTCATCACTTGCTCACCTGTCTGAATGACTAGTATCCTCCTGTCTCTCTCTGTTGTGGGCATTTGGAACTCATTACACTCCTTATGAGATGCCCTGCTAAATATTCTGTGTCTGCTATATTTCCAAATGCACCAGTTTAGGAACCCTACTTTGCAGATCTTCTCAGATCTGGGCACTGCATTGGTACTAGAGCTACACTGATGAGTAAGATGTGGTTCTTGTCCATGAGAAGCTAATGCTTTCATTGGCAGGACAGGTGCGTGATTTCAGTACAGCTCGTGAATGCCCCCAGAGCAGGTTTAAACAGAGTGCCTTTGTCAAAGAGGGCTTCACAGAGGATATTTGGATTGTGTCCTAAAGGATGAGCAGGAGTTTTGAAAGGAAGAAAGGTGAGGAAAATGGTCCAAGTAGAGGGAGCAGCATGTTAGGAATAGGCAGGGCATCCACGCTTCTCTGCTCAGTGCTAGATGGCTGCTGATTGGGCAGATGTGGAATGGGCTCCGGGCAGTCTGGGGAGCAGACATGAACCTTGTGTGCTGAGCCACAGGCTTTGGACTCTACCCTGTAGGCAGTTGCGACACTGACGTATTCTGTGTAGGGAGCAGAGGAGAAGATCATTTGGCTGCCAAGTGGAGAATGGAGTAGAAGGAAGAGCTGGGGCAAGTCAGCCAGTCACGAGGCTGTTAGAGGCCATCTCGTGCAGTGCCTCCTCCCAACTTCTATCAAAGAATCCATGAAGATAGCAAAAAAAACCAAAAATTGACCACAGCCAAAAAAAAACCAAAAAAAATGAAACCAAAAAACCTAAAGGTAAAATGATAGACATGTCAGATGCTGAGAGAACAGAAAAGGATAGGGATCCCCACTGTATCTGTAGTGTAGTACTTTGGGGACTAATAAAAGCCAGTTCCTGAACTGTCCCCCACATACCCTGAAGCTGAAATGCCAATGGCCTTAAAGGAAGGCAGTGGGGAGAGGCTTGCTTCACTTTCTCCATGTTCCGCTAAGCCTGGGATGCTGGAGTTGCACCCACCAGAGAAGCAGACAGCCAAGCTCCCGCAGAGCAGCAGCGCTTCTGTTAGCTGGCCAGAAGCTTGCTCCTCCAGCCCCTGCTGCCCTGCCGCCCCTCATTCTTTACCTTCTACATCCACTCAGAAACCCAAAGCAAGAAGCAGAGGGAGATGGACAGAGACATGGTTTTTCCTACCCTGTTGTAAGAAGGGGACAGAGACATAAGAATCCTGATAACAGTCCATTACATACTGCAGTTTCAAAACAATAGACTGTAGCAATCTTCAAGTTTAGTTTGGGAACCAGAGAGAGTAGGCCAGGAGCCAACTGTACAGCTGCCCCATGCATGCCTGCTGGAAGCACTCTCCAATCCTGAACTGTGCCTGGTGACCTGATCTGCAGCCCAGACCTAAGAAGAGGACAGCTGCTGACACCAAGGGGCCAGCGAAAGGACACTAAGGAAACTCTTCTGACTGTCTTCGTTGGCAAACTCTCAGCCTTCATAGATAGCACTACGTTCGAGGGTGAGTGAACAGGATAAAGAATAGGCCTGTGAAAAGCTACCACAGTGTAATGATGGGGGGAAGAGTAGCCCTAAAGATTAAGAAAATTATTACTTTTTAAAGTTTTTGTTTAAAATGTTTTTTCCTTTTTTTTTTTCTCCACCCCATAAATTTTTTTTTTTTTTTTAAGAGGTGGTCTCACTCTGTCAGCCAAGCTAGAGTGCAGTGGCACGGTCATGGCACACTGTAGCCTCGAACTCCTGGGCTCAAGCAATCCTCTTGCCTCAGCCTCCCAAGTAGCTAGGACTACAGATGTGCACAACCACACCCTGCTAATTGTTCTTATTTTTCTAGAGATGGGGTCTTGCTATGTTGCTCAGGCTGGTCTTGAACGCTTGGCCTCAAGTGATCCTCTTGCCTCGGCCCCCCAAAGTGCTAGGATTATAGGCATGAGCCACTGTACCTGGGAGAAAATTATTTTTTATAAGAAACTGAAGAACCTTGTAGAAGAGACATGCTTTGTGTACTCAGAAGAGGTGAAGAAATGTTTCTTTGTGCAGCAGGAGTAGGACTCTGTAATAACAGGGAAGATTTCATAAAGGGAGATGGAGGAAATAAGAAAGCACTGCTTGGAAACCCAAGATGCATTAACAGAATTAAAATCATGGTGAATGCAAAAGCAGGATTCAACTCAGAGTGCCAGAAGCTTCCACACAATTTCTTGATTCACCTTGGTCTGCAGATCCTTTTTACCATTGTAAACTCTAGTCTTTTCAATTTGAAACTCATTCTACATGGCACAGAACAGCAGCAAATTGCAAATAATGGAGTGTGCTTTTGTAAAATTCAACTCATTAAAGAGCTTAGCTATGTTCTTTCAGTAAGCCCCCGTCATGTTGCCTTTTTTCTGGTGTAATGTCGAAACTGTCATCAGAATTATTTGTAGTTGCCTAGTATAGTTTGAGACTGATAGTTGCCCGCAGTACCTATTTCTATTCTTTGCCTAGTAACAGGGTCTCTGACGTTTACGTGGGCATATGGCCTCCTAGAAAATATATTGCATTCCCTGGCTTTTCTTGCAGCTGGCCAGTGGAACTCTCATGTTCATCTTCTGGAAAGTATCCTTGAAGGGAGGGAGCATGCCCTTTCTCCTGCTGTGTGGAATGTGGACATTATAGCTAGTGCTCAGTGTCTGTCTTGGACCACGAAGAAGAAACCATGTATAGACAGTAATAGAGAAACATAAGGTGGAAGGAGCCAGGTTCCTGATCTTGCAGAGTACCCTGGTAGCCCTGGGCTGTCTCCCTCTGCACACCTTTCATGTGTGAGACAGATATTATCTAAGCCACTATTCTTGGTGTTTTCTGTCATGTGTAGCCAAATCAAATCCTAAAGATACACCAGGTAGTGTGGGGTTTTTTTGTTTTTTTTTTTTTTTTGTTCTGTTTTGAAGCAGAGTCTTGCTCTGTTGCCCGGTAGAGTGCCGTGGCATCAGCTTAGCTCACAGCGACCTCAAACTCCTGGGCTCAAGCGATCCTCCTGCCTCAGCCTTCCAAGTAGCTGGGACTACAGGCATGTGCCACTACGCCCAGCTAATTTTTTTTATTTTTAGTTGCTGAGCAAAATTTCTTTATATTTTTTAGTAGAGACAGGGTCTCACTCTTGCTCAGGCTGGCCTCGAACTCTTGGCCTCAAGCAATCCTCCTGCCTCGGCCTCCCAGAGTGCTAGGATTACAGGCGTGAGCCACTGTGGCTGGCCCAGGTAGTGCGGTTTTAAGAGCTTCCCAGCATGCTTGCACTACTTGCAGAATATCATGCTCTGTCTTTTTCTGACCTTGAAACCTGCCTTCCTAATGTCCAGGTGTACATTTTGACTATGCCAGTCATTTCTTCCCTAGTTTTCACGAATTATAAAGCAATGGTGTCATTTTTCAACCCACGTTCCTGACATTTGTATTTTCTAGCCAATTCTTCCTTCTTATGCACCAGAAACAGTCCAGAATACACCTCTGCCTTTCTATACAGTTTTAGAGCTCCCTTGAAGGGCTTGTGTCCAGGTAAGCAGGGTCTTCCCTTCCATGTCATCCTTAGCTCAATGCCTCTCATTCTTCTATCTGCAGGTCCGGGTAGACCATTCACAGCTCCTTACTGGGGTCATCTGCACAGTTGCCTATTTGCCATTACATCACTCAGATCTCTGTTTTTCTTCAGAGAGCTGGTTTGAGGTGACTGGCTGCATATTTAAATTTGCCTTTTCTCCCTCCAGATCTCTGTGATAGGATGACAACATAAACACAAAACAGATACAATGTCCCGAGAAGTCACGGAAATACCATTTGTGAGTCATGTCTCTTATTCCCTGTTTGAGATTAGGGCTAGGATGAATATTAGTCACCAGATGTGATGAATGCGCTGGCTGTGTCTGTAAGTGTTGGCCTTGCCAGTGACCCGTCTGAGCCTGAGCAGCCCCTCCCATGGCTTTCTCCAGGAAGCTGAGCCTGCCTGCTCTTCAGGGTAGACTGGAGATTGGCACCTAGCCAGCAAGCTCTGCAGGGGTGATCTGGAAGGACTCTTCCAGTAGAGCCATGCAGCACTCTAGGTTGGCTCCCTCTGGAGAGGACAGGCACATGGGAGCTGGAGGAGTATGGAGAGTAGACACTGGGAAAAGCAGAAATGTTGAGGAAGGTGGAGAGATGAGCAGTCTCCGTGAAGGAGACTGGTTGATCCCTAGAACTCTTCCCTACCCCAGGCCTATTCTACATCTATTGTTAGATTCTAAGCCTTTCTCAACCTGGGTTCCACAAGAAAATTAGGCCCAAAGGCAGGGGTGGGCAAAGGAAAACACGATCATGCCCGTTCATTTGTGTATCATGTGTGGCTGCTTTTGTGCTACAGTGGTAGACTTGAGTAGTTGTGACAGAGTCCTGTGGCTTGCAAAACCTAAAATATTTACTCTCTGGTCCTTTACAGAAAAAGTTTGCAAAGACTGAGGCATCCATTGTGTATGGCGAATCTCTTTTATGCCTCTGGAACGGTTATGTTACATACCGTCTTTGGGAGAATTGAGAAATAGTCACACAAATCACTTTTTGTGTTTTGTGATTCAGAAGTGATTCTATTTCTTGAACTAACAGAGCTGAAGCAAATGTAGGCTAGTCTCTGTCCCATCTTGGACACGTTCTCCGGGAGGCCAGCACACTTCTCACTTGACAGTGGGGCGGTCTGGGTATGCTTCTCTCCGTTCCCCTCCTTCTGAGCTTCTTCTCTAACGTGGGTCTTTTTCCTCTGGGTCTGAGGCTGAGTTCCTTCCTCCTCCTGTTGTTACCGAAAGTTCAGCACTTGTCCCCGAGGCCGTATCAGAAGAATGAGGACACGTGGTTTGAGGAGAAGGAAAGAGAGGAAAGAGAAGTTTATTAATTTGCTGGCAAATGAGGGCGGGAAGCTCTCATCTTAAAGTACCATCATCCTATCTGTAAACAGAAATACAGAGCTTTTAAAAGGAGTTTTCAGCTTGTGGCTGTTGCTGTTTAACTGTAGCTGATGGTCCTGATCAACCCCATCTCCTGTGAAGACAATCTTATGACTTCTGCCCAGACGGGTCCATTTTGCCATCTCTTGTGGTATGAAAAACAGAACACTCCCCTGCCCTTCTGACCACTGGCCTCGGGCAGGGATGAAGGTTTTAATTCCCAAGGTGGTGGGGGGAGCTTGTAGAACTTTTTACCCCTCTGCAGGCCATTCCTTTTTTACACTGAGCCGCCTGGCTCCTGTTCTCCAGAGTCCCGCTTTCTTCCCCCAGTGTAGGAAGAGTTCACAGCTCCTGCATATGTCCAGTGGAACACGTTCTTTTCCTTCTCCTACTCTTCTGCGTCACACTTATTTCTGCCCTCTCTGACCTTCCGGCTGTATTTTCATTCCCTGTGGTCTTGCTGCTTCTCCAGAAGGGTTGAATTCGTTCTGCGTGGGAGCCTCGCACTCCTTGGCGGCTTCAGTGGAGCAGTGTCTTGTGCTCTTCTTGACCAGTCTTCCAGCCTTAACCTTGATAGCAAGTGTTGATTCTCTTTTTGACTAATAACAAAATCTTGAATTTTCTAGTTTTGGACTTTTTTTCTTGTTAATTTAGCTTCCACTTTGCCTAGGAACTCTTCATTCTTTGTGTTGTTTAGAATACAGTGAAGAACCAGCCCTTGGGCTCCTTCATCCCCACCGTAAGCACAGCCCTTACCTTGTGCTAATACTCGTAAACTCGAGTTTCCCTTTGGTAGGAGGAGACAAATAACTCCTTTCACTTAAACACAAAACAGGGAAAATATTCCACCTGAAACACAGTAGGTTAACAAAGACCAGCACAAGCAAATGCACATCATCTCAGCTGTTGCGTTCCTGCTCCATGACTGTTACAGTTATCTCAGTCCACTCATTAGGAATGTGTCCCTGAAAGAGAGATCAAGTAGCCAAGAAGTGAATCCAGAGTATAAAGGGGATCTTTTGCTCTTCCTTCTACCCCTCTTCTAATTTTAATTGCTCTACCAAAATTGTTTAAGTATATTTGTATTTTAAGAATTATTTTTATATTTTTGAAAGTAGTCAGATATTAACAGAAAGAATTACTTTTTAATTCTCATCACTTGGAGAAAATTTTTTGTGCCTCTGAGTTGAACTTTTCTTAGTTGAGGAGTGTTTTAAGTGTCAAATTATGATAAAATCCTGTGATGATACAAAATTTTGGTGTAGTATAATTGGCTCCCATCCTCTGCCATGCCTGTTGTTTGCAAGTGAAGGGCCAGACATTTTGCTTGAAATAATTGACTTATTTCATACATTTCTAATAAATACAACCAATATGTGAACTTTTCCTTCCCTTTCTCTTTTAGTCTGTAACTGGAAGACTAGTGGAAAAATACTGTTCTGTTAACTTTGTAATAACATGCCCTGTTTTTTTTTTTTTTT